TTGTATATATACTTCCTATTTTTCTCTTTACACATATTGTAGTTCTATGATATTTTTGTGCATCGTTTGGATCATGTTTTGTGTGTGTGTAGGGGGGGGGTCTTATTGTTAATATTTATCCAGGATATGTAAGATGTGAGCTATCATTATGTCTCTCGGGCTCCTTCAATTAGACTTGAATTGATATTACACGAGTTCGTAGCATCTTGAAAAAATGCTCCCTTTTCTCACTTATTTGGTGTTATCTTGTTTCTATATCTCGTAATTTCTGTTAATATTGAGTAGCTTCAGTTATGTCTTAATTAAAACGTTTATAAAACACGCAATCAAAATATTAAAATACCTCTGGGTTTTATTTGTTTAATATGATTAAGAAGCGGGCCTGAATATTCGCCGCTCATTAAGAGTTCTGGTCTGATAGACTTTTTATTCGGGGAATTTAACAGAAACATATTTTAATTATTACTAAAATAATAAATCCCAAAACCATGTTAATTACAGTAGCGCAACAATATCTCACGCTATTTATTCTCAATCAGGCAACGTCACATTCGCCCTATATTTTAAACTGACATAAACACACACACAAAAAGTATTTACTATTATTATTATACAATCAAAATAAAACATAACATTCACAGTATTTAAGATATAAAAAACATAAATTTCGTTCGTGCTCAGATCTGTGCAACTTTAACTAATTTCAAATTCATTTAATGGCCATTTAATAATTAATAATATTTTAATTTAAGTGAAATCCAATCTTAGCCTTCACCAAATTTAGAAGTCTTTTGCTCTGTCATGTTTAACATCCCTTCTTGAACATTACACAGCATGCTTAAAGGACGAAATTATCATGAACACGTCTTCACTCAGCTACAGGAGACAGGTGCCATCTATTTTTTCACACACACACGAATGTTTTTAAATTTCCAATTGTCTTTCTCGAGCGTATTTCTAATTAATATTCCAAAATTGCATTATCTTTATCGCGACCAGCTCAATTCTTTCTTCAATCAGAAAAAAATATTAAAGTCCACATATACTACTTATCAAGATAAACTCGTTATTGCGACGCATGACCATGCACAATAGCAACGTTTTACGATCTCTCACTGACTGATCACGAGGGCGACTTTAGTGTGCTATAATACCTTTCGTCCGATGGTCTACAGCTCGTCTTTCCGGTGCAGTTCGAGTTATAACTCTTTTCTTTTTCCTTCTTTCCACGCATCATCGTTTATTTGTCTACCTATCACGCTTTCCCACTCGCTATTATACTTGATTGTTCTTCTCGTATATTATTTTATAGAAAAAACATAGATAATTAATTCGTCAATAGGATGACGTAGTTCATCTCAATATGTAGCAAATGGCCGGTGACCTATCCCAAGGTGGCCTGCCGTTTCGCCGCCAATTGAAACCTTCAATAGCCCTAGTTAACGAAGTCAAGTTCACTTCGCCCGGAGCCCCACCAAACAAGTCTCTTTTCAGGCGAGCACCCAAACATCGGCTCCGCCCTCGGAGGATGACATCACCACCACCGCGGTGCCCGCGCTGGCGACCGACGGCGCCCCGGCCACTTCCGCTCCGGCGGCGGCGGTTGAGAGTTCGACGCCGGGCGCCGCGACGACGGAAGGCGCCGGGGCCGCCACGGCCGCGTCGCCGCCCGCGCGGGAACCCGCCGCCGCCACCACGCCCCTCGCCCCGGAGGACGCCGCCGCCACCACCACCATGCCGCCGCCCGGGGCGATGGCGGGCGCGGGCGAGGGCGACGGACGGCGCGTGCCCGACGAGGAGGCCGTCCCGCAGCCGGAGCCGACCGCCGAACCCGAGGGCCACGGGGACCGCCCGCCCGACGCGGAGACGGAACGCCCCGCCACCTCGCGGCCCCCGCCCGCGCAGCCAGCGGCTACAGGTGAGCGCCCCCGTCGTCTCCGTTACGCAGCACGCGAACGGCTGACGCGCGTCGCGCCTCGCGCAATTAGGCTCTAAAATTCAACGCTCGGAGCACGCGTTCATCCAGTTACTTTGTTAAAATGGAATTCTGAATTTTGCACTACGTACTACATAAATAAATGCAACACTCGCACCGAAGCGTATACATAATACACTGAACCAGATACATAACCTGCATCTTCGGGCTTCTGTCTCAAAGAGTATTCCAATCGTATAAGCGACTAAATGATCTACAGTCTCGTCTGGTCTCGCTGTATCTGCCGGATTATGCGAGCTTGGTACCGTTCTTTGCATTGCATTTTTTGTTACAAAGTATTGAAGGGAACGTAGCTTATTAGTCAAAGGGTGAAATTACTCGATTTCAAATTCAAGTTGAATTATTTTCCTCCTCAATTGTGGCTGGCTAGGAAGCTCCTTGAAATGAGAAATATGTGTACTAAAATCCGTACCTGTGTACGTTTAAAAAAAATTAATGCATTGGATTTGATCAAATAATATTTTTTCTTGTGTTCTTGTCTTACTTTTATTGAAAATCTAATAAAAGATGTTTGGAGTTTTATTTTGAAGCTTCTACATTTTATATTTGGTGTTACACAGTTTTTCATTACTGAAGTTTTATCCTATACAGGCATTAACAACAAAAGGTATGTTTTTAAGAAACGGAATACACACATTCACTGCAGAAATGTGCTTAGATTAGCAGAAATGGTAAAATTGTAACAGAAACAAACTAGCATTTTTACGAGATTCTTTGCCGTAAAACATTCCGATTACTGTATTGCCCTTCACTCATAATTAGGGGAAATAAAGCTGTTATCCATACGAGGAACAGCTTCTAGGAAAACGTTTATTTCTATCCTTCCAATCGCGGTGTGCAGTCATGTTAAATTTACAAAAGGAACAAAGCACTGAAGCGATCTCTGAGAATGTAGCGGAAGTCAGTGATGTAAATTCATGTGCGGGGAGTCGGGATTCAAACGCTCTGCAAGTTCTAAGCCACAGGTGGCGAAATTACGAAATCATTAGACTTTCAAGGAAAAGAAAAAAACTACTCTCCCTGAAGCTAGATGAGTATAGTGAAAAGTCAATATAATATATGCGTACAAAGAACGATCAGAGCGACTGGTTTGATAATAAAAAAGGATTCTAGGAAACAGATGCTCATGTTTACGATTAATAAAGTATGCTGCAAAACATTTATCAACGTAGGATAAAATAAAGCTACTAGACTCTAATAGATGTTCGTGCCAAGGGGATAAAATGAGCTGAGTTCTTGGAAGCTATTTTATCCTCTTAGCTACAGCAGACTTCTTTTTCCTCGACGTTGATGCACCTACAAGAAGGAAATCATATCATAAATAAATATAAAAGTGTTTTCGTAATCGGTTTCATTTTTACCAATCACAAGTAACATATTTGTTATCATCAGAAAGATCCAAACTTTGGACACCGAGCTTTAGGTTCAGCGTTATTAATATTTAACTACTGTGAGCTGCCCCTTTTACAAAGTGAAAGTAGATACTTTACTGTATACAATTAATACCTACGCAATGATCAACCGCCTGTAAATACACACATTTTGTACAGAAACCGTGGTTTTATATATAGAAGACAATATGATTAATGTTTTATGAGTAGTTGCAATGTAATTCCAGTAATGCCGCCATATATTTTAAATGATTTCCCGGCTGAATAGATCTCCCTCGCATGACAGGCAGTTTTGGATGGAGGTATGTACTCGTTAGTCTTAATTTCCCCGCTCCCCCCAACTCCCCACGAAATAGAGAAAGACTGGAGGAAACACTTCTTTGAATCGTCATTATAAATCATAATAATGGTGGAGACGTTACATAGTGCAAATCATTTGACATGTTCGGGCGTGTTTCATTTGAACTTCTCCTTCTAGAGCTTTCTGAGTCATCTTGCGCTTTCTCGATCAGCAGACCTTTTCAATGAAAATAGCGATATATAGAACAACCGCTTTCCTAACAATACGGCCAGTCTAAAGTTGTGGCCTCGAAAGAGGTTGTTGAAAGAGGAATTGCCCGACTGCATCCTGCGATCAGTTTTCCCTCGCCTCCGCATCCCAGCTAAGCCCCTATCGCTTTTTGTGTCCGGTGAAGGCACAGCTCCATTGCATCTCGTTTCGTTCATCCGGTGTTTCCGAAGGAGGAAACATTTTTGTCAACTTTGCATTCATATGTAGCACAAAGTAGATGTCCTCGCACCAGCGAAGATAAAATCTTGAACGCAGTGAACATGGCACAATCTTTGGAATTGTGTATGTTAAGACTGCAACATAAGAAGATGCTCATGATAGCTTCCAAGTTTTGCTTCCACAACTATTTTGGATGGGTTTTGAATGTTGGCAGTACTCTAAAAGGACATGAAAATGGTTCTTGGAAATAGATAAATTATAATCGATCAATATGATTCTATAAAACTAATGGTGCTTGAGAATGGCACAGACTTTCCCTTATTAGTTTTCTATTTCCTTTGGTCTCGGCTAGCTATTCGGACTTGTGACAAACTCTTGCCAGCTGCCTTCTATCGCCGCCCAAGTACATTTCTTAAAACAAATTTCTTAATTTTTCGGTTTACTAATAGTAGACCGGAAATATTACTCTAAGAACATTAAATTGAAGTAAAACCTCGTATTAAATGGCAAATTTTCTTTGAAAAACTTTGGTCAGTTTTTAAGAAAATGGCGGTTAAGCGCTACTGTAAATTCGAAAAAGTATTACATAACCTTTCCTATTCTACGTATATAACTCTGTTTATACGTAATGTGCACGGGAAAGACAAAAGCATTATAAGAAACGTAAAATCAATCTTGATGCTAAGGAAAGCAGAACGAGATGGGAGTTGGGCAATTCCTCTTCGAGGAGGTACATAAACGTCTTCGGAAAAGTTGACCGTGGGACGCAGAGCGTACTTGTCCGAATTCAATCCTTAGACTAAGAGAAATCGCAAGGGGATGCACTCCTTGAGGTGGGGAGGGAGTTGGAGAGTTGCCAGCGGCACGCGTGCTTGTTTCAGCGCCGGCGCCGGCGTCGGCGTCGGGAGCGGCGCGCGTGGAGACGACGACGGCGCTGCCCGAGGACACGGCGACGACGGCCACGACGCTGCCGGCGCCGGGCGACGGCGAGCCGCCCACGCCCACCGACCCGGCGGCGCCCGGCCCCGCGCCCGCGCCCTCCGTCAACACCTTCCTGCGCATCACGGTGCAGACGTCGTGGGAGATCCTGTGCCGCGACCGAGAGGCCTTCCGCGCCGCGCTCGACCACATGGCCTCCGAGCGCTTCGGCAAGTGAGTGCCCCCCCCCCCCCCCC